ACGTACGCCGGGGTAAGGAGGGGAGGCTAGACCGTCCAAATCCACAGCCTCTTTTTTTCCGGTCTTCCTGGTCTACCAAGGACCCGGCCTGCCGAGACCGGGGAGTCTGGGTCCTCCGGAGGACCCGGCCTGTCGTTTTGGACACAGCCATAGTTTTACAAAACTAAACAGCCTACAGTATTTTTACAGTCTTTATTTTACAGTTAAAATAAATGTTTATCACATAAAGTCTAATGTTACAACTAATCGTGGATCCCTTTAAACAGACCACGGTTCGTTTCCCCCGTTGGTCCAGACATTTTTAAGCAGGTGTGAATACACTCGTGAGACCTGGTGCTGACCAAACAACCGGACCGAGACCCACGTTTGAGGAGGTCTCGGTCCGCTTCCAAATGAGCTCTGGTGCGCTTCGCTTCTGGTGTGAATACAGACTGGCCTTGAACCGAACCAACTACAGGAAATGTGCACCTTTTTTGGACTTCACGAGCCACCGTTGCTGAGCATCGTGGTGAAAATAAACCCTTCAGAGTTGCTAATGCTACCACAACATGGATGCTACAAACAATGTCCGAACTGGGCGCACAATTGCTGACGCTGTTCTAAAATTAGAAGTGTGTCGTTTCAAAACCACAGTTGAATGAGCTGCGCTTGAAATTCTATGTGGTTTTCTTCGGATGGGCTGCAGCTCCTCTGACAGAAAATGGAAAACATGAAACAATACAAAATAAAATATAAGTAGTTTTTGTCATTTTAAATGGAAAAATGCAAATAAATGAGTCTGGAATTGCAAATGTTTTCTTAAGGTTTCAGTTAAAATAAAATGGCAAACTTAAACTTACCTACAGTTTAAAAAAAGATTTCATGAATTTGAACGTTCAACACTGTCAAATAAACCATGTAACTGATGAAATATCTTACTGATAGATTATGTTGTGTAAGAAGTTTGCCAAAATGAACTCTTATGTATGTAGTTGGGTTGCTTTTACTCCCCTTCATTTATTTACTGCTCCTAACGTCATTTTTGCGAATATACTTTAAAGGATGTTTGTTTAACATTGATCTATGAGACCATGTATAAACTGACTGAACTAAAACGGCCAACACAACAATCTAAACTCACTCAGTAAAACCTACATTGAATTGCAGCAGTGTTGCTGTGGAAACAAAGCTCAGCTTTGCCCCGTCTGCATATGCTCACTCAGTTTTGAAGTCAATCTTAATTCTTTTTCTTTTTCTCATCTCTTCCCCCATTGTTTGTTCTGCCTGTTCAGCTCTGTTATTGTCATCTTCCTCCTCCTTAGTGTTATTCTTTTAGACTACAGTCTTAAGGGCTCGACACACGGGAGGCGACGTCGCTCGCTCTCCATTCATTTCCTATGGAGCCTGTGCGTTGAGGCGGCAATCGCTTGCCCTCCTCCAGCTAAGCGACCGGCAAAAATAGTGCATGTGAAATTTCGCGCTCGTACACGTAGACGTGCACACGCGAGCTTGCGACGCGACATATGAAAGTTGAAAAATGTTCAACTTTTGTCGCTGTCACTTAGCGTACAACCAATCAGCGAGGGTTTCATTGACTGACCAATGAGAGGAGAGTATGCTACACATTAACATTAGCTAACACTTTCATCAAGTGATTACTAAAAAGCTTTGTGGGAATTTATTGGCACCAGGGTGAAGTTTATGGTAAGTTTTTCCTCATAAAACTGTATCTTGATGTGTGTTTGTTTTTCAACATCATTAGCATCGCAAGGTTTTAGTTTACACGTCCGTAATGCACACCCGCCTTCAGAGTCAAGAACCAATCAAATTTYRTGAAGACAAGCGABCTGAGAGCGCGATTCGCAACGCTGCGATCGCTATCACGTCCCGTGTGTCGGGTTTCACCCTGGCTGCGATGACAGCCGTTAATCGCTGTAGTTTGTCGCTCCCCGTGTGTCGAGCCCTTTAGCAATCAGTAGATATAATAATGACCCCAGGTGTTTCAGCCATGCATTGCAGTTACCGAAAAAACATTTATAAGGTTCCTTATGACCAGTACTAATCGTAGTCTTTGTCCAATGGGTTTTTAAACAAAATCTATGGTTATTGACAACTGTGTTGAATTTTAAAATGGCGCAATATTTGTTTCATGAGAGGTGCTGGTTTTTACTCTGCACTACTTTTGCCTTAGTTACTCTAAAGGTAGTACTATGGTTAACACACCAACAGTTTAGGTTTAGCCAATCAGTGGCTACACCCTCGCCCTACTCCCTACTCACTCAGTTTGCGCGTTCCCGCAGAGTTTTTTCCATATTAAATCTCATCTGAAACCAATTATGAGGGCGAGTGGCTTATTAAGCCCTCCACAGCGAGTCAGCATCCAATGCAGACTTGAGCAGCAGGTGCAGCACCAAATAGTGGTCGACATGGACGGGACGTATAAATATAAGTTCCACATATTAATTTGTACACATATTTACTAAGTAAACACCTCACCAACGTATATAATTTCACATAAATCATGTTGAATTCAATTAAAACTTTATTAAAGACACAGAACCCTGGTCCATATTTAAAAAGAAAGAAAGAAAAAAAAAGAAATAAAGTAAAATGATTTTAAAAATGTTAAAAGTGCAGTTGTTTTGACAAGTTATCACACTGTTACAAATACAGTCATATCTGAAAACTTTGTGAAATGTGGGCCTAATTAAATATTTGCTTTGGTCTATTTAAAAAAAAGCACTTTCTAGACGATCTTACAGCGTTTGTTCTCATTCGCTGCCAAAGCTTGGACTGTTACCATGGTGACAACAGCTTCCTGTTCCGGTGGTGTGAGGAGAGGCCGTTTCAAAAGCAGAGGGTGTATACAGCGCCATCAGGGGGACTCCGTTCAGCTGCGAGGGGGCTTCACAACGAGTGTAGTGGGGAGGGAGTAGCCACTGATTGGGAAAGGCCGATTATGTGTTGTTTCATACATGTCAGCCTTTTCGGACGTTTACCTGTTAAAAAAGCCTCAAAAATCCGTAAATTTTGGAAAGAATCCGAACAACTCAGGGCGGGGTCTGTCGGCTGCGGACATGAAAGCACCTGCTGCGAAGCAGGAGGAAAGGAGAGCGGACAAGTTCAAAACTTATTTCTAGTGGCAGAACAGGTTGGAAGATGGCTGTTTGATGTTATTTATTGTTATTTAAATCATCCTATAGGCTCTGACATGTTAGATAAATTTGAAAATGAGGTTTTGAAAAAATCTGTGGGATTACTCTATACGTCTGTATACCTGCAAAATGACAAAATCCTTATAACTTACAGACAGTCCGTACAAGATGACATGTATGTAGTTTGCATGTTCTCTTTGTTCATGTGTGGGTTTCTGCAGATCCTGTGGTTTCCTTCCACAAATCAAAACAAGAACATAGGGTAATTAGCATTTCTAAATCGACTGGAGGAGTGAGTGTGTTTGCATGCTTGTCATGTGTGTCCCTGTGTTCAGAATGTGTGCAGTTTCTCTCTTGTTGACGGTTTGAGGGAGACTTTAGCTATTGTACAAATGGTTAAAATTCTGGGGATTCAAGTCAAAATATTACGTATAATGAAATATTCCTCTTCGCATGTTTACAAGATGGTCAGATTGATGTTATGGTACGATATACAAACTGACTTCTATTGACATAAAGCTTAACGTTACTGTTATTCCTACGTTTTATATCTTGGCCCTTTCACACTAACATTTTAGATAACTTATGCCAACTTTTGTTGCAAATAAATTACTCGTACAGGCTTTATATTTGATCTAATCAATAGCATTATAGTATGTATACAACCAAATGAAGCTACCAGTACAATTGTTTAATTCTATCTTCAACATAAACATATCCACAAGTTGTCTAAAAGTTTGTAGTGGGACGGAACCTTAGCAAAGTTACAAGCAAGAGCAAGTTACATCATCTAATTGCATCATTGTATTATTTAGTAAACTATAACCTGAATTAACCATACAGTACTTCAAACTACTGTACGTAATGATCAAAAAGAAAAAATAAGTAGTTCCTCCTAGTTATTTTTTCTTTTAGATTTTTTTTTTACCTGGATTACTGAGAGGCATAAGGACATCGTAGGTACTGATGTGTCCAAATCATAAAAAAGAGTAAGAGAAAACATGACTTAAATCAGTGTACTTAAAGGCACAGTATGTAGGATTTTGTCAATTCTTTTAGCCGAAATTGAGATAATCACTAATGACAATAATAAAAAACATGTCTAATCATTGCAGATAAAGACCTTGTTTTATTATTTTTACCTTATAAAAAGCTGTTTATATCTCCATGGTCGCAGGTCGCCACTACAGGCAGCCGCCATCTTTTACCGCCATCTTGTCTACGAAGGCTCATGAAGGACAAAATGCGGTGGCGGTGTCAAAAACTGTTTTAGTTGTAATACTCTAAATGTAATATTTGTTGTCTGTCATTGTAGCTGGGATAATTTTACTTATTAAAGCTCATAATCTTACCACTTGAAACATCACTAGCCCTGAAGTTGCTGGTAGACATCGTGGTTGGAATTATCAAAGGTTTTTGACACCTGAGAGACACCGTAGCAACTCCTTTGCGTTTGGAAGCGGGGGGTGGGGGGAGGACCATGGAGGATGATTCAACCACTCAACCACTAGATGTCGCTGAAAACAAGAAATCCTACACACTGTGCCTTTAATAACAACCTTCATGTTAAAGTGACAAATACTAAGATCAGTTTAGCACTTGAGGTTTTGAGAATAAATCGATTTTAACAGCCTTCTGTTTTCTTCCACTTATTCCAAGTAATCCACCAGTTTCTACTCAGATCCATAACCTGCTACTTTACATAAAGACTAAAGATGCTGTTAACAAAGATCCTCTTGTCAAAGTTTGAGTTTAATAAAAAAAACAGACTATTTGACTGAATATATTAACTGCTCTGTTTGATAAACTGTTTTTCTTTTCTTTGTGTTTTATGAATATATTTAGGTGATCGACGTGTCTGATGGCTTCCTGTCTCTGATGGATGACAATGGAGAAACCAGAGAGGACCTTAAAGTGCCAGATGGTGACCTGGGTAAAGAAATAGAGAAGAAGTTCAGTGATGGAGAACAATTCATGGTAAGTTTCTGTGAGTTACAAAGATAATATAATGGTTGTGAATGTTGAACAGCATGAAAAATTTAATGTTTGACACAACCAAAAAGTGAGCAATAATGTTTGCCTGTGTCTTTGTGTTTGTGTAGCAAAATATTTTGGGAAATACTAAACGGATACATTCAAAGTAATAACTTAAAGCAGTGGTTCCCAAACTTTTTATCTTCTGACCCACAAAATATCCATGGCAAAAGCTTGTGACCCCAAATATTACTGGTCTGCGTACACGAACTTTGTTAATAACCCTAAAAACACAGGCTTTTTGACAATCTAAACAGCTTGTACACAAATATAAGTACTTATTTATACTGATTTTTGGTTTTTGTAATAGTTATAGGGAAAATATTACATCAGCAATTATTTTATTACCCTTTAAATTGATTTCTGGAGATTATCCAAGGTGCTTCATGACCCATAATTGGGTCCCAAACCCAACTTTGGGAACCAAAGTGCAGTGGTTCCCAAACTTTTCAGCTTCTGACCCACAAAATAACAGTAGCAGAGACCTGTGCCCCCAACTATTTTTGGATGATAAACATTTGTATCAGGTCAACAAAACATGGGCATAGTAACAATATTTTTATACTACATTTATCCATTTTAAAAATACCAAACTCACTCCTTTGTAACAAGTAAGGAAAAATATAATTAATTCCGAAAGTCTTTTCAGGACCCCACCTTGATGTTTCCCCAACTTTGGGAAACACTGACTTAAAAGTACATCTACAAGTTATTCACTTTTGAAATCAAAACAAATAAAGATGAGTGCCACGGCCAACAGGCTTTAAAAAAAAACAAACACTAAATGGCTGTGCAGTCAGTTTTACAAATATTTACCTAAAATTATTTTTAAAATGTTTACATTTTGCCATTAACTATCAAAGTCAACTCTGTGTTGTGTTAGCAAAATATCCCTTGAACCATTTTATTGGTCCGTGCAGAATATGTTTATTTAAGGTGCATCCATCATTAACAGTCTTACTTAAAGGCACAGTGTGTAGGATTTTGTCAAGTCTTTTAGCCGAAATTGAGATAATCACTAATGACAATAATAAAAAAACATGTCTAATCAGTGCAGACAAAGACCTTGTTTTATTATTTTTACCTTATAAAAAGCTGTTTATATCTCCATGGTCGCGGGTCGCCACACAGGCAGCCGCCATCTTGCACCGCCATCTTGTCTACGAAGGCTCATGAAGGACAAACTGCGGTGGCGGCATCAAAAACGGCTTTAGTTGTAATACTATAAATGTAATATTTGTTGTCTGTCATTGTAGCTGGGATAATTTTACTTATTAAAGCTCATAATCTTACCACTTGAAACATCACTAGCCCTGAAGCTGCTGGTAGACATCGCGGTTGGAATTATCAAAGGTTTTTGACACCTGAGAGACACCGTAGCAACTCCTTTGCGTTTGGAAGCGGGGGGTGGGGGGAGGACCATGGAGGATGATTCAACCACTCAACCACTAGATGTCGCTGAAAACAACAAATCCTACACACTGTGCCTTTTAAGATGGCTGCCACAGCTGATTTACAATAGTCAGCACAGATGTGGCTATAGATTGTTCAGTTTAACAGAAATGAAGGTAAAATTTAATGTTGTAGTAATGGAGTCATTCACAACATTAAAAGATATATCCTGAGATATTGTGAGATCATGCATAGCGTCATTTTCAAGGTTTACTAAAACAACTCCAGTTGTCAACATAAGATGACGGTGGTCTTACACTCTGACATGAAAGGCAGGAGGTGACATGGAGCTGCTCCTGCATGAAACTCATGTTTCTCTGCTGCAGCATACTTGATTCAGTGTTTGAACCTCTTGTAAATCTGCAGGAACCAGTTAATGACTCGTTCAAACCAATCAGGTGTGTTTAAAGCAGGGAAACCAGGAAAACATGCAGGAGAGCGGCCCTCGGACCAGAATTTGACACCTGTGCCTTCAAGGAACATTAGGCCTTTTTAATTTTTGAATAAAAAAACAAACTCAAAACAATACTTATAATTATTTTTCCCTTTTCAGGTCTCGGTGTTGAAAGCTGTGGATGAAGAGCGTGTAGTTGGCACTAAGAACATGACTTAGTCCCGGACAGCGTTGGAGACCTCACCTTCCTTTTGTCCTTCCTGGTTTAGAAGCTTCACCAAAGCTACTGGCCTTCACCCCCACATCTCCACTTGCTGACAGCTGTAATCTGGACACCAGACTGGGTCAGCTTCAACCGTACCTCAAAGGCCAGAGTGCTATTCTCCTCAGTCAATGGTTCTGCCCTCCCCACAGCTTGCTGAGCACCATTTTCAGCACATACTGCTATTATTTTAAGTATTTCGGACCACCTTCCAGCAATGCATAACATTCCTATCAGTCTGGAGGTTTGCTTTTTGGGCGCATTCCTTCTAAAATAGTTGATTTCAAATGTCTGCAGGAGGACACTGCACCCCAGGCATGTTACCTATTTAGTTTACCTCTCAGAGAATGCATGTTACCTTAATCGCAGGATCACGCCTTCACACCACTGATTACAAATTCATCCACATGTGCACAGCTCATGCCTTAGGAACTACGTATTCATGCAAGCAGCATCATTTTATTTAAAGCTTCACTAAGAGCAAGTTTTCTACTGCATGTAGCCCGGTCTCAGTGGTTAGTCCTTTCTAGCTGACATCTCGGGGTCTCAGCAGCCCAACAGTTTGGGACAGAGGAGGTTGGGTGGGACCGTTTTCTCTTCTATGCTATAAAACTTTATTTTCACTTGAGGCCTTTTACAAGCTGACAAATATAGAGAAATTATTTTGAAGAAAAAAAAAGCATTGAGAACCTTTTCTGTTCCACATTGTAATCTCAAACTTTTGAGTTTAATTGCAAACTTGTTCAAAGCAAATGTAGCAACAGAATGCTACAGGAAGAGAGAAATGTGGTAATGAGAAGGCATTTAGTTTTATGTAATTTAACCTACTTTAAAGGGTAGTTAATGGGTTAATGACTGTTACCATTAAGTCACTGTTTGGGTTTCATCAGGGAGGTGTGAAGAACTTTAAAGAGTTAAACAGTTGCAGACCTATTTGCCACTAAATGGCACATTTATGGATGTTGTGCACAAGTTGCACTCATCAGTTTATACAAAATATTGCAGTTTTTTTTATTAAATGAAAAGTTAATTTGTCTGTTTTTAAGCAATATTAGTTGAAATACATTTACATGCTCTTCATTCATCTGGTTGTTAGAGAACCTGCATTTGTAAAAGCATGTCAGTTTCCCCCCTCCCCCCTACCATGAATGACATATTTCTTATTAACGACATATTTAAAGCACTGCATCTATTCGTCATGGTTTCCTGTGTTTTCACTAAAGCATTTGGATTTTGTGAAGAAGCAAGACTTTCATGAATGCATGTGCTCAGAAACTACAAATTACTGTCGTTCAGCAGCAGGAATGATTCAGACTAGTGGGCAATTTATTCAGTTTATGGGGATAAAAAAAGCAATATTTTACAAAATTTTAGTAAACGAACCTGTGTTCTTGCAAAACAGCTGTTAAAAGCTCAGTAAGGCAAATACATGTAGATAAGTTTTTTGTTTTTGTTTTGCAGCAGAATCCATTTCCTTTACAACAAGTAAGGAACATGTTTACATGATGTTGATGACATCAGAGTTCTGCTAAAAGGTGATAAACTTCCCAAATCTGGACGAACACACAGGTTTTTTTTATTTTTTTTTAATTTTTTGACATTTGAAAGTACTCTGTTGAGCTTTAGGTGTGGTCAACAGCAGCTGGTCTGTTATTTTTCTTGTCTAAATATTTCTTTTTAAATTCCATCAGGACATAAATGTAGTCCGCTGGTTGCTGTTAGTTGCATCTTTTCTCATCATTCCAGTATTATTCAGAGTGTGATGTTTTCTCTATGTAATAATGTACTGTGGCCTAAGAAAAGCCACTTCCAACTTTCCTTCTTCCTTTTTTATTTGTGTCCAAATATGTTAGAATACAGAACAGCAGTACTGTAGAGTACAAGGGCAAAAGGTAAAGCCATATGACTGTATTCCACGCACGAACTGTGCAAACCGTCATCAATTGAAGGCCCTTACAGAGCAGCAAAGCAGGAACATTTAGGCTCTTTCACAGAACAGTTGTGTCATGTGGCTGCAGAGACAAACCCATCCGAAGGCTGCTCCTGACCATAAATCACCTGTCAGGCTGCACGTTCACACATGTGCCGACTGATTAAAGAAGCTGGCATCATTGAATCAACAGAGTCGTGTTTATTAAAGGTGAGGATCTCTAATCACCCCACAGTTTATATCAAGTGCTATTCAGAGGATTTTTTTAATGATTATCGGCTCGTATATAAAATATGTTTCATTCATACAAGATCTGAGAACCAGGTGAACAAAAAAATGCTGATTTAAGAGTGATGGAGGTTTTAGCGTCATGAAACCCACAGCCTTCAGTTTCTACTGTTTTTAGTCTTGTAGACAGCTGTGTTGGTAAACATGAGCTGCTGTCTGTGTTGGAGACTAGTTGACAACTTAAAGCAGGGAGGGGTGGGTGGGGGGTAAATGTTTAGTTGCAGTAACTGAATTCTGAGTGCTCGTGATGAAGGGACCAGCGAACCATGTAGCTGCTTTGTTGCTCAGCCAGTTTTTAAAACCGACATATTTTTATGTTCACGGCTTTCAATCTGAGCTTTATGCATGTTGCCCACAATACAACGCTGCAAATGTTTCAACACACAGTGGAAACTTTTGTTGCTCACCAACTTGTCAACAACTCAGTGAGACGGTACAGTTAGAGGTGTCAACAACAACCTTCACACTTCAGTTTATTTCTATTATTAATATGAAGTCATTTGATTTTTGACGTCTATAACTCTTCAGAGTTATTCATATCTACATTGTGATGAATCAGATGGCCCATATAGTCCTTGAGCCTTGTGTTAATTTAGAGTATTACATATAAAATCTGTTGCGTATTCTGGTTTGTCGCTGCGACTGACATCACAACTTGACACTGTTGAGCCGTGAAGTTGGCTTCTTTCAGATGTCGACCATTCCTGCCTCAGTCCTTTAACAAATCACACCAAAGGCGTCTCGGTGTCGGCTTGAAGTGTTTTGTGAAAGAGCCTTGTTGTGTTACTTTGTCACCAGGCTTTGGCTGTAGGGTCAGATAAAGGGCCCAGTTTAATTTTCTGAATAAATCTGTTCAAAGTTTCAGTCTTTACCGCCTCACAATAACTGGAAAGTAATATGTGTAAAGAATGTTAAACATAACCTGTTGTATGTAAACTGCAGGAACTTATCTTTTAACAAATAAAATACTGTACAGATGTTAATCAAACTCACAGCTGTTCTGCTTATTTATTATTGATACATGCACCTGTGGAAAAATTTCCTAAAAAAGAGGCAATAATACATATTTACTTGAAACATATTGATTTGTTTTTAATATGTAAGGCTCAGGTCTGATCGATAAATTTATGAATTAATATCCAGCTGCTCAGCACAGACTTGTATGCAAAAAACCTATGGGAAACGCAAAATGCTTATTTTAGTCATTTAAATTATTTCATTTTTTGTAAACTAGTCGAGTCATCAAAAAGAAAAAAATAGTATAGGTCTTCTGGACGGGTTCTTCTYTAATGAAACGTTTCGTCTCTCCTCCAAGAGACTTCTTCAGTCTGAGAGTTTCAGGCAAAATTCAGGCTTTTAAGCCCTGCCTCCATGTGACTGATACTCACATCACATGGCTATCATTGACACCTAATTAACACCTATCGTTAACAGGGGTGGAGTGATACTGGCAATAGCAGCACTGTAGGAGGGGGACAACTGAAAACGGAGGCCTCCACCTCTGTTTAATGATGGACGGTCTTTCTTCACAAAAATGGCTTCTTTTACTCCTCTCTCAAACCAACGTTCCTCTCTATCAAGAATGAGAACATCCTCATCTCTGAAAGAGTGACCGCTGGCCTGTAAATGAGTGAAAACTGCAGAGTTCTGGCCRTTAGATGTAGCTCGTCTGTGTTGGGACATTCTTTTGAACAGTGGCTGCCTTGTTTCCCCGATCTTTTTGATTTTTTACCTGGATTACTGAGATGCATCAGGACATGGTCAATYATCCTCCACTGAGACAGTTGAGGGTTAGATTCCACCACTTTTCWGTCACATGTTGAAGTGTTCTTGGGCAAAACACTGAACCTCCACTGCCTCTGATGTGTCCCATCAGTGTGTGATATAAGCACTGATTAGTCTCTATAGAATGATTTATGCAGGCTAGCTTTGTAGAGAGTAAAATGCTGTGTAAATGAGGACAGATTAAAAAACTGACTATCCTGGATGGATAGAAAAGCATTACATAAATCCATTTACCATTTAAATAATTGGGATGTAAAAGGATCTGTCGTGATGGGACCCTGGGTCCAAAAGAATAGGACCAGACAACTTTTTAACAATATTTTTAAGAGAAAAAGCTTTTGCCACTTGTTTAACAGTCATATGTCTAACATTGCTTCAACTATACATGACCTAACTCATCATTACATTGTACTGTTGGCACACAAGGAGCAGAGATTAAAAACCTGATCAATGCTTTTTTTTTTTTTTCAGATTTATTATGTTAACACATTCATAAAAGATTTTCATTTTTTTTAAGCTAAGTTCTTACGTTTTTAAATTCATTTTTTTCTGATGTCTAATGAAAACATTTTACCACAGGTCATCAAACTGTTTCGTATTTATTCAAATAATTTTGTCTGATACTGTGGGTTAGCTGATCTGAAACATTTACGTGTGGCCAAAACAAAAATGAAAGAAGGCAAACAGGATTTTTTTTGCTCCTCCAGGTGCTGTTCTGTCAGATGTGCAGCAGGTGGCAATAAAACAACACATTTTAAAATAACACGTTAGAAATGAGTTCAAAATGTTTTATTTTATGTCAACATTTTAAAGCTTAATTTTTATTTTTTTGCATCAGTAAAACTACATGGTAATTGTGACAAACAATGGCAATTAATATTTTTATATCAACTTGTTGTGAGTTGTCAGACATGTTTCAGTCATTTACCTTTAAACCTGTATTTATGCCATATTTGTGGACACTTCACTGCTCACACTGGTTCTGAATGCAATTTCTCATAGTTCCTTTTTATCAACCGAGGTAAACCTTTCAGTCTTGTCTCCCACAAATAGGCACTATGTTTGAATGTTTTGATGAATTATATTCGGCGCACTTCACAGATGACATCCATCCTCCCGCCTGTAGAAACACAGATGCTTCCCAGAGAGCGACACATGGAGTCACCTCCCAAAGCTGGCAGACTTTGTGGCATTAGAGTAAAACTCCAACTCCTGTTTCAGTCTCTCTACTGTTCCAGGGCTCACATGGAAAGTGAATCTGGGATCGTCCAGAGGATTGGCTGAACTTTTAAAGGGATCCACGATTAGTTGTAACATTAAACTGTATTTGATTAACATTTATTTTAACTGTAAAATAAAGACTGTAAAATACTGTAGGATGTTTAGTTTTGTAAATTTTTTAAAATATATTTAAATACGGACGGAGCCATTTTGTTTACACGCAAAGCATTCTGGGTAAATGATGACATCAACTAGGTCATCGGTGCGAGGCTGCTAGCGAGCTWTATCCACCCTGAAGGTTAATCTTGGACAATATCTGATGATCGACTCTTTTAAATGAAACCAGAGAGCGTTGACAGAGAGGAGAAGGTAGAAATGACTCAGCCTGGAACTGAAAATATGGATGGAGGACAACAGAGCTGCTTCATGGAAGAAGAACCTCAGCTTAGCCTGTTAGCCTTCGTGCTAGTGCCGATGCTATATTGCCTTATATATATTAGCTCGGTGCTAGCACGACAAACAAGCTAATCTGTGGTCCTCCATCCATATTTTCAGTTACAGGCTGAGTCATTTCTATTTTCTTCTCTCTGTCATGTGGATGGAGGACCTCAGTGACGAGAGGAGAATGTGTAGCGCTGAGCTAATACATATATATGGTGATAGCGTCAGGGCTAAAGCTAACAGGCTAAGCTGAGGTTCTTCCATGAAGCAGCTTTGTTGTCCTCCATCCATATTTTCAGTTCCAGGCTGAGTCATACCTTCTCCTCTCTGTCAACGCTCTCTGGTTTCATTTAAAAGAGTCGATCATCAGATATTGTCCAAGATTAACCTTCAGGGTGGATATAGCTCGCTAGCAGCCTCGCACCGAGGACCTATCCACGTCATCATTTACCCAGAATGCTTTGCGTTTAAATAAAATGGCCCCGTCCATGTAATTACATTTTTAAACTTTTAGTTTAAAAATTAGAAAAACTGAGCATCCTTACAGTATTTTTACAGTCTTTATTTTACAGTTAAAATAAATGTTTATCAAATAAAGTCTAATGTTACAACTAATCGGGGATCCCTCTAAACGTTGTTCCACACAACTATTCAGACAGCAAATCTGCTGGAATCCTGGCTGATTGATGGGAGAGCTGAAAGCGCTTGAAACGGTTTCATTCCTGATGGGAGTTTTGGGGGCAAAAGGTTTGTCTTGTAAAGTCATGGAAAACAGTGTTTTTCACACACACACACACACACATGCACACACACATGCACACACACTGGCTGCATTCATCAACATTGAGGTAGGGTCGAGCGTAGACCGGGCCTTTATGTAACTGCAGGATCTGTTTCTCAAAGCAGCAGGAGACGGGGAGAGACGAGATCAAAGCATCAGTGTGAACTGTGCTTTTATTGAAACTTTGTGGGATTAACTGCTCATCTACGTGTGTCCGTGAGAAAGTCTAAAAGTTTTTTTGGGGAAAAAAACAATCTAGTGCTTCCTTGAGTTTCTCTTGAGTTTAGCAATTTTTTTCACAAGCATCACTAAGCAAAATGTTGCACTGTTTTCATTACCCCATAACTAAATAACAAAGGTTTCAGTTAAAATGAGCTTATTTTCCTTAATATTTAAGAATGCAGACACCACTTTCTTGCAGATGATGATGAAATGGTGCTCAGGTGGTATTAAATATAAAATATATGGAGTCCAGATTTTTGCAACTAAAGAAAAAAGAACAAAGGAGCACTTTTCACTGTAGATTTGGAAGATTGATGGATGACGGTCGGAGGTATTTAATGTTCCTTTCATGTGCTTCAGTCCCACTGAGAGACAAGCATTTCCATGTTTTTGTGCAGGATGGGGGTAAAAAGGTGAACGTTGGCGACAACCATAGGATGGGTTAAGATGAGGAAATATAAGCGATCATCTCATAGTGTTGGAGTGGTGTGCAAAATGTACAGAAAATACAATAATTTGCAAATCTTCATAAAATCTTTTTTTTTTCACAATGAAACAAACATCTCAAATGTTTAAACCAAGATTTTTTTTTTAGTTTAAAACTGGATGGCAGCAACACATTCTTGTCTGATGCAGGATTCCAGCTGTTTAACAGTCCTGGGTCATATTAGCCTTTTTTAATTAGATTTTTTGCTTTATGATGTGTTAAATGTTTTCACTTCTTTTACGACGATGGCGCCTTTCAAAAATGTAAACTGCCTATGTCAGCGGCACTTATGCATCTCTAGCTCATCAGAGAGGCAGGCTTTTGAACTGTGTGCTGAGAACAGGCCAGGTAGTTCATTTTCTCGTCATGCCCGGCTCACACAGCAAGGTTTTAAAATCGTCGATTGATTTTCAAAACGTGAGTGTGGGACGTGGTCCTCGGCTCCCTCTGTGTGAGCAGAACGTGTGATTAAGCACAGAAGGGGAGTTTCTTCTGAAACAGCCGTGTTAACAGATGTGTTCATTTGAGAAAGAGGCTCACAGCATGCTGTTTCTATTTTAGATATACTCTCATATCACTGTGAAGTCTGTGAAAAAAAAGATCTTATGTGGAAGAGTCAGTCAATGACTTAACGGTTAAAATATCCAGACTGGGCTGGGGTTTTATGGGTTTGTTTTTTAGGTTTGATGGAACAAGATATTGCTTCTTTTTGCTCCTCTAGTGAAACATTTGTAATGATTTTGTCATTGATAAGAGCCTCTGGCCAATGTAGAGACAAGCATGTCTCCTGGGTGGTGGTTTGTACACTTTTTGCTATTTGCTATTTTTGAATACTTTCTACTGTTATAACCATTTACATAAAACAATCAGCTCATTCAGGAGTGCTCTAGCCTTTTATTTTTTAGAACTTTTACGTTTTTCCAAATATGTAACTTAATATATTGATATTTTTCCTGTGGAATTACATTGAGATCTCTTAAAAAAAAACAAAATACAAACAAAATGTTCTCTTTAAAATCTGCTTCACTATTTTTTATGTTTTTAGCTGGCCATGATACATTATTTTTAGTTGGTACTTTTAAATTTAGTTTTGCTACATTTACATTTTAGCCAGACTTTTAATACTTTTAGCTTTCAGTCAATTTTTTCTTACTTTTTCCTTAGAGATAGACTTTTATTCC